TGTTGTTAAGCATGTTCTTCGTTTGCAACGAATATACAATATTTTTAATGTCGAACTGTACTCGATTGTGCCCTCTGTACCCATAAACTTATGTGTAAATAAAAAATATAAATAATTATTTTAACCAATAAACAACGTGACATTAATAAATAATTCATTATTTGTGTATCGTGTGTAATATAACTAGTATACATCTAATATTGTCTATACCTAACTGCCTACCAATACCATAATTATTTGAAGTTAAACAAACGGTATATTATATAAAACCGTCAAATATCTATCAGGATAAATATRAATAATATTATACTTATGAATACACACAATCGATAAAAAAAAAATGGTCTAAAGTCGAATTATATTCTTGCCAAATGTAACGAGCTATAATTTAACTAGCTATCGCTTAACTTAGTAGGCAGGACGCAGAAATACYGTGCAGGGTGATTATTTAAACAATGAACACAGCTCGTTATTTCAAAAAARTAGGTAAAACTACTTATGCGTTTAAATATTTGTTTTGTGAAACAAATAAGCTGGTTCATAAAATCAAAATAATAATATSCTAATATTCCTATGACATAGGTACTAAAAAATTGTTTACTTCTTTTTTGTGTTAGCTATTTAAATTATTGTATTCTAAATTGTTTTAATCTTTGACACATAAATTATTATATTAAAACGACGCCATACCGGCATTTGTTTTCTCTGBGAACAAATAACTATAACGGCAACGTGTAACTTGGAAAATGTTACGTTTGCGATGGCCGATGAGACATTTCTCTATAATTTCTAAAGTTGAAGTTAATTTATTTCTTATACAATTTAAAAGCAAGAATATTATCTAGGCCTCTAGGGCATCTCGGAGGATTTTATTGATATTATTATTTTTAAATAAATTATGATGATTGTAATTATTATTATATGATTCACATAATTATGCGAAATGTTAAAATGTACAGTTTGAAAATGGTCATAACTTAATTAAAAATAAAAATACTAATTAAACCTGTATAACGTCCTCTTGCGAGTGCTACGCCATCATCAAAAMCCTAACACTCTTTAACATTGTCCCAAACAAATATCTAATAGCATCTGACTCTATATGTCATGTCTTCAAGCCTTAAATTCCAACCCTTTATACTCYCAACTATCCCATTTGGTTCTTCGTATAARATCACTTATTTTCAATCCTAATATTTTAAACTACACAATACACTTCATATGGATCCCCGGTCATACTGGCATTCGCGGCAATGAGTTTGTTGACAATCTTGCTAAATGAACATCTAACATTATTCTCCCATCTCTTACTCAACTACCGCACTCTGACTTTACTCCTTTTATAAAACGTTACATAATATTTAATCTATGGCCTTTGTTGGAATAATTCACCTGCAATCTTTACYTCAAGGTATAGGGACATTAAACCCCGATATTCTTAATAATATCTGGTTCAGCAAATTAGATCTGCACARATCACATATTACACAATTTAACAGATTACGCTTAGGACACTCTAAACTCGGTTTAAACGACTCCCCTTTCTGTAGACTGCAGTATCTCCATGAATGTATTTGCGATCTATCTCATATATTATTTGATTGCCCTGCTCTGATATCCAAACGTCTTGACTTAATTAATTCTGTTAGATCTTTCAATTGTCCTTTTAATCTCCACTCCRTTTTAAATTGCATCTTCACTATTAAAAGTATTATTAAGTTTATTTTGGATGCTGGCTTTATTATATAAAATCTGTATGCTTTAATTGAATTAAATTGTACTCTTCTATATTATATAATTGTTGAGCTATATTAGTTGTAACTTAAAGCTATAATAAAAAAAAAAAATAAAAAAAAACGTCCTATTGAATAAAAAAATGTGTAAAAAACAATATATCTTACAGACTTCTTTATATAATATTATGTATAGCTATTATTATATACATAAGACGCTGCACCTTTTAACCTTAAATAAAGTTTTGTGAATAGTTATAAAGAAAAAAAAAACTAAAAAGATTAGCGTTTATTAAAAATATGTCTCCATAATATTATTACTATTTTTATTTTATTGATCTTAAAACCCAGCATTTGTGTACATTAGTTATAGATAAGTATTTTACAATTATTTACGAATATAACATATTATATGAATAATACCATAAATTAAAGGTAAACAGTAGGGTGATTTATTTATACGGCTAATTATACAAAACTATTAAACTGTCATATACTATAATATAACCAACTTGTAGGATAATCTTTCTGTAAACTTTGAATGTATAACATAATATTGAGTATTGAGTATTGGATAAAGTATAATATGAATTTACAGTGTCGTAATGAACGTCAATCGCTTCCGGCGTAGGTTTACGTCAAAGTAAATTAATAAACACACACAATCAAAACATCACAATTTATTACTGATTTTTTTCCAAGTGGGATAACCGCATTTTGCCCACTTCTATGTCTTATAAGTTATAATACGAGTATATTGTAACTTAACCTAGCTTATATTTTTCTACATCTTGTTTTTAGTCTCGTAAAACAAGACTCAATATTATATTTCGTTACACGAAGGTACATCAATATTTTCTTAAGTTAGTTTTGATTCTATAATAATGTTTATGCATAGCAACAGGTAACAACATTTATGTACTCAGACTTATTGTATACATGGAGTATATAAATAAATTATGTTACGCTCGATACAATAATATCTTTGATGTATRAATGGGCCATGGGCGTCACTATATGGTCAAAATTTCGGGGATAGTAAAGTTTATTTTTAGAAAGTAAAAAAATTATTTTTTACAGATTTAATTATTATTTTGTGTGATAAAAATGCACACGTATAGTTAAAATTTTAACTGAACTTATAAATATATTTATTAAGAAAACATTGATACCTATATTTATAACCTAACCTAGCCTACCCTAATTTATGAGTACTAAAATACTCATTATTTTAAATTAAGTCGGCGTTTGTTGTCAGCACAAAATTCGTCAATAACTGCATTTTTATTTACCTCTTTATCTTTGTGTAAAATATTTATCAGTTATGACCACGGACCAATATAGAATAGAAACTCGAAACCAACATGATGTCAGATCCTTGTTTACTCGTATTCGGAAAACGTTTATTGTTATTCTTACAGAATATCTTGCCATCTTGGTATGACCAATTATTGATTATACATATAGTATGGCGTATATTAATATCAATGGTATGACGTATTCATCACAAAATATAACTATTATAGTCACAAATCACAATCAAAATAATAGATAGTCTATTTTCGTACACATTTGAATAATAAAAATAAACATCAAATATATTTTTAAAATCTAAGACTTTTTTGGGGGTAGTTGAATGATACCCTTGCTACCACAAAACAATTTCTGGGGTAGCAAAAATATCCTTCGATACCCTTTAGTGACGCCTATGGATGTATGCGTGTACCTAATTGTTATCTTAACTGTCTTAGA